CCCAGGGCTATAGGGACCCTCCAGGGATGGCAGGGCTGGACTCCCACCCAGGGCTATAGGGACCCTCCAGGGATGGCAGGCTGGACTCCACCCTGGGCTCCAGGGTCTCTGCCCTTCCAGCCCTGGCTCCAGGTGTCTTGACTCCAGTTTACTTATTTCCGTGGCTGCTGATCTTGACATGTCTCTTGTATATGTGTGCCTCAGTGTCCTCTCCTCTTTGTACAGGACGCAGTGCTGCTGGATGGGGGTCCACCCTCCTGGCCTTAACTGGGTACGTCTGCACTGATCCCATCTCCAGGCGAGACTGTGTTCAGAGGCTGGGGTTCGGCCTGGTGTGTACCTAGTAGAGCTGGAAGAGACTCCTGGAATCCGCCTTCTCCCTGCTCATCTCCAAGGTGCGCTCCGCCTCTGCCTTTCCCGACCATGCTTGGGACGCTCCTGCCCTGGAGCAGCCTGTTCCTGACTCTGTGCTCCCGTCTCAGGAGTAGGACAGAGAGCAGCTTTGTGTTGCTGGGCCGGCTCCCAGGCAGATAGAGGACAAACCGTGTCAAGGTCTTTGGTTGACTGAGCAGAGGAGATGGGAGCAGGCAGAGCTGGTTCGTTCAGTATTTTAGGAAACACAGTTCTCCTGTTGAAGCAGGAATGTGAGAGCGGATTTCTGGGGGACATGCTGAGTGGACCCATAAGCTTCACGAACAGTAAGTGTAGGGACGGAGGTTTAGAAACCATCTTTTCCTGGAGATCTGTGGGTCCATGGGAATTCAGAGTTGGGTTGCAGTTCCCGTAAGTAGCAAGGTGGACAAGGCACTCGCCTGACTCGCCATGTCCTGGATGGCTGGGGAGGGGACTCCCGTTGCTCTGTCAGTGAGCATTGCCCCTAATGCATTCCCAGGGCATGTTCTAAGACTGCAGGTGGGACTGACTTCGGCTGACCCGTGTCCTATCCTGTCCTGTCCGGTGACAGAGTTGGGGGCTCTAAACACAGGAAGAATTGTTTGCACAACAAACCCCTTTACGATGGAGTGGCAGTTCCAGGTTATGGACTTCAAAACTTGCTTCTCAGGCAGGGTGCGTGTGGAGCCGCCCCTCAGGCTGCTGGGTTTTTGTGAAGGACGGTGCACAATGACTCTGTGTCCGATGCTTGGGAGGTCAGTGTGGTCAGGCCCCCATGAAGAGCTGGCCGCCTGCCCCTCCTTCTCACGCCCATTGACTCTAGCTCTGGTCGGCCTGGCCTGGTCCTTCCCCTGTGTGCTTGTGGCCCCAGGTGACTGTTGTGGCTCCTGATCCCTCGCGGTCTACTGCCTACTTGAAATCTGGGACTAGATTTCTCAGTCTCTCTGCTAAGATGGCCCAGCCCTGAAGCCCAGGGGGAGCCCCGTGGAGGACACAGCCCCCTGAGGGACAGTGGCACAGCCCTGAAGCCCAGG